TTTTTTGAAAATTTATTTACTTTTTAAAATTTATTCATTCATTTATTTTAATTTGACCAGAGAGAGACAGAGAGAGAGAGAGAAAGTGAGAAAGCAAGCTGCCAGGTCCAGGACTCAACCTGTGATCAGCCATATTGGAGTGTTCAGCACCTTAACCACCACATCACCTGCTGGTCCCCTAAATTATGAAATATGTAGATTAGGGCCAGCAGGTAGTGTAGTGGTTAGGGTGTTGGACATATGGCCAAACTCAAACTGCGATTTGAGTCCCGGACCTGGCAGCTTGCTTTCTCACTTTCTCTCTATCTCTCTTTCTTTCTGTCTCTCTCTGGTGAATACACATGCCCTATAGAAAATTTCATGATAATAATAATAATATTTAAATCTTTTTTTTTTTTGAGAGTTTTTTTTCTATAGGGCGTGTGCGCTCGCCAGAAAGACACAGACGGAGACAGAAAGCGAGAAATCACCCCCCACAGGGGATGGCCACGCCGCAATCCCTTCTCCTCCATTCTCCTCTCGGGATCTTGGGCACGCATGCACACATGCCTGGCATGAGTTTAAGCTGCCAGGTCCGGGACTTGAACCGTGGTCGACTACGTGGGAGTGCAGCGAAATAGCCATTACGCTAATTGCTCATCCCAATATTTAAATCATTTTAAAAATAAAAAAGAAATATATAGATTCAAGTGAGTGAGTGAAATACTTTGTTGTAAAAAAATCATGACATATTTATTTTTGAATACTCTTTTTAAAAAAAGGATTACTTAACTCACTCATTCATTTACTTTAATTTGACCAGAGGGAGAAGGAGAGAGAGAGAAGAGAAAGTAAGAAAACAAGCCACCAGATCTGGGACTTGAACCATGGTCAGCCGTGTGGGAGTGTTCAACACCTTAACCACCACATCACCTGCTGGTCCCCTAAATTATGAAATATGTAGATTAGGGCCAGCAGGTAGTGTAGTGGTTAGGGTGTTGGACATATGGCCAAACTCAGACTGCGATTTGAGTCCCGGACCTGGCAGCTTGCTTTCTCACTTTCTCTCTATCTCTCTTTCTTTCTGTCTCTCTCTGGTGAATACACATGCCCTATAGAAAATTTCATGATAATAATAATAATATTTAAATCTTTTTTTTTTTTGAGAGTTTTTTTTCTATAGGGCGTGTGCGCTCGCCAGACAGAGAAAAAGTGAGAAATCACCCCCCCACAGGGGATGGCCACGCCGCAATCCCTTCTCCTCCATTCTCCTCTCGGGATCTTGGGCACGCATGCACACGTGCCTGGCATGAGTTTAAGCTGCCAGGTCCGGGACTTGAACCGTGGTCGACTACGTGGGAGTGCAGCGAAATAGCCATTACGCTAATTGCTCATCCCAATATTTAAATCATTTTAAAAATAAAAAAGAAATATATAGATTCAAGTGAGTGAGTGAAATACTTTGTTGTAAAAAAATCATGACTTTTTTTATGTTTTTCTATGCAAAAAATACACGTGACTTTTCCAACAACCTAATATTTCATAATAACATATGCCCTCTCTGAGTATGTATTATTAGTAGCCAGTATTTGTTTGAGATGTGCTTTGCCAACATTGTTTCAGTGAGTCTCACAGCCGGCAGTGCAGATAGGTGCCCTTCAGGACGTAAGGAAAGTGCGCACAGAGAGGTTGAGTAAGGGGTAGCACATCAAAGACAGAGGTTTCCTTTTCTGAAATAAGGTGGAGACTGAAACTCGGAAGTAAACATTCAGTACATCCCAGATGGCCTTGATGCAGCCTTGAAATCCCATTCCTGTATGTTTGGCCCATGAGCTGCTAATCCCGCTATCTGAGGACAGACCCAGTGAGAAAAAGACAGTAGTCGTGGAGTTGAAGAAAAGCTTCCCAGTTTCCCCTGGTCTTCAGACCTGGTGATCTCTGGATGCTTGTCTGCAAATCCTCACGCTGTTCTAACCCGAGTGAGTGCCAGCTTGGAATGTGACCCCTGTTTGCTCTGTACCTCCCATTGTCTGCTTCAGTCCCACTGCCCTGTCCAGCTCTGCCCTGCTCTACTTCCCTGGGCTCAAGACTACCTGAGCCATTTGCCTTGCAGAAGCCTAGAAGAGGCAGGCCCTTGGCATGGCAGAAAGACACAGGTTTACAACACACTTGTCAGTCAGTTTAAATGGGAGTGCCTTACATTTATTTTGGTTAGCTGAAAGCAAAAGCTCTCCCTTACAGAGTGCCAACTCTGTGCCAGGCTTGGTATGGGTGCCTGTATGTGCACAGGTGTTAAGTGGCATGACGTTTCCCTGTTTCCTGAATTTGATCCGTGTTGGGAGCATCACTTCTTACTTCTCATTCGAATCCTAATATTTTTTCTTCTTATCAACTAAGAAAATCATACATAATGTGTAGGGAATAATGCAATTTGTATCAAGGTGTCTACACACATCTTTACATTTTACCCTGTTTAAGATTGTATTTTGAGGGACCAGCAGTTAGCGTAATGGCTATGTTGCTGAACTCCCATGTAGTCGACCACAGTTCAAGTCCCAGACCCGGTGGCTTAAAACTCACGCTGGGGCGCGTGTGCGTGCATGCCCAAGATCCCAAGAGGAGAATAGAGGAGAAGGGATTGTGGTGTGGCCATCCCCCTCTAGGGGGGTGATTCCTTGCTTTCTCTCTGTCTTTCTGGTGAGTGCACACACCCAATAGCATAAACCTCTCCAAAAAAAGAAAAAAATACGGTTTTTTTGAAAGAAATGAATTATTACAGATAAAACTGGAGCCACCTGTACAATTCTTCTGGTGACTTTTCTGTGTTTTATTTTGTATTTTTTTTTCTTCTCCTGAGGTAGTCACTGAATTAAGTTTGGTGTTTATCACTACTCTGTGCATTTTTGTATTCTTACTTACTATAAATTTATGTGTCCATAATATGATAATGTCTTTCAGATTTAACTTTCATATAAATGGAACCATTAATCATGTTTCTAATGCTTCGTGCAAGAATCATCCTGCAGTAGGCTTTGTCTTCTGTCTGAATTTGGGATGTCACATAAATAGATTTTTGAACTTACTAAAGATAATAGGTATCTCTAGGTTGATTTATAATTAAATTTCTCTCTCAATCTTACATGGAATTTTAAGAAACTGACTTTTTGTTTGACTTTGTTTTGTTTCTGAGATGTAGCCCTGTGGATAAATGTAGTTTATTCCATTTTAATGTTGTTAGGTATTGGTTTTTTTGGCTATGTGAAAATGTATTAGTCCTTTCATATGTGGCTGGGCATTTAAGAGCCTCTGGTTCCTACTATTCTAACCATGCTTCCTTGATCATCCTGCATGTTTCTCCGAGAGCACCCAAGGGAGTGTTTCCCTAGGAAATCTACAGTGCTGTCTATATTCCCATTCACCTTACTGGAATTTGCCAGGGTGCACCGGATGGTGGGAGACTGTACAGCTTTCATGCACGCCTGTATACAGAAGTTGGTTCCTCTGTGTTATATACTTGTTTTTTCTTTCTCTGTGTTACACACTTGATACAGTCCTTTCTTGCACACAACAGACTTAAAACTGTTTGCAATTTGATGGGTCGAACTGATATCTCACTATTGCTCCTAATAATTTTGTAAGATTGAAGTTTCTGATATTTTATGAAGTTCACATTTATTGTCTTCTATATTTTTTTTTTTGAGAGATTTTCACTGTAGGGCGCGTGCGCTCGCCAGACAGACAGAGAGAGATATAGAGACAGAAAGCGAGAAATCACCCCCCAGGGTGGATGGTCACGCCGCAATCCCTTCTCCTCCATTCTCCTCTCGGGATCTTGGGCACGCACGCACATGCGCCCGGCGTGAGTTTTAAGCCACCGGGTCCGGGACACGAACCGTGGTCGACTACGTGGGAGTCCAGCGACATAGCCATTACGCTAACTGCTGGTTCCCTATATTTTTTCATGTTTGATTGGAACAGACATTTTAGATTCGTCTGAATTTTTGCAACATTAGTATTTGTAAGACTTCACATGCGTAGTTCAGGTAGTCTTTTAATTGTGAAGCCACACTGTTGCTTTATTCGGACAGCTGTTGCAGGTCTCAGTTTCTGGGGATTCCCTTTCTCCCTCCTCTCACTTTCTGATTATCCTTACCTGCGCAGACTGTTCCCTTGGCTACTGAAATCCATCCCTTGGGTGCCCTAAGCTCACTCTGTCTCTTCCTGTATTTGAATCCCTATCACCTCAGGTTAGAGGCCTCTGCAAATGTTCCCAGAGTTCTGCTGAGGGCTGCTATTATGTCAATAGAGCGGGAAGAAGTAGTGAAACGAAGTTGCACGGTTATCTCTATAGCACTGAGCTTTAAGCACACTGGTAATTAACTGTGAATGTGACCATAGAGAGGAAGATGGCAAGACACTTGGTTTCTAGTTTTAAGTATATAAAGAAGAAACATAATTGTGTTAATCTTTACTTACACTTTTAGTACAGCCTTGTCCTTAAAATGATAGAAATGTGTAACTTTTGATTGATTAGTTTTACTGAGTATAAAATACTTTATATCTTGCAGTATATATGCTATTTTCTTAAATGAACAGGATATAGTAAAACAAACGTCTTAGGGAATTAGATGAGAATATAAAAACCTATCTGCCTGAATGTGTACATTTTTCATGAATAGTTAAGTTAGTGATTTGCTGAGCCCAAAGGCTTTTTGGCTGTCCCTCAACCACTTGATAGTTCTTCAGTCACAATGGCCATTTTAATGGAAATGTTCAGCCCTTAGAAGAACCTAGAATGTGTATTATTTAGATTTTACTGGACTAGACAAGTGGGATTTGTTTCTTCTACTCCAGTTATCAGAAAGATTAACCCTTTGCCCTCTACATTCTAATTGTAACTATTCAGAAACAAAGGGGGTGTTTGTACAAAATAGTTGAAAAAATGATGCTTTATGCCAAGTGGAATGTTTCTCAGTTGAAGGAGGTAGCAATCATTGCACACATTTTTTTTTTTTCTTCTTATGTTACAGGCATCTGTAGAGGCTTCTGGTGGAATCGCATTATGCAAGACTGGATTTCCTGAAGATGTTTACAGTGCAGTCTTATCGAAGGATGTGCACGAAGGACAGCCACTTCTCAATGGTACTATCTCAACAAATGTATTTGTACATATAGTGTCCATGCTCTTGAAACAAGTTAGCCATTACAAGGTCTAAACCATCTCACAATTACTATAATGAGACTGTAGGGACTTTATTTTAGGATTATAGAAGAGCTCATGACTCTCTTATATACGTAATTGGAAGGCTCCTGGTCACCTGCAAACTTCAGATTTTCTTCCTTTTAAAATTTATTAGGAACTTTTATACGACCGATTTTTACTATTTTTCTGAAAACATGTCATGTCTTTTGAAGAATAATATTTACCAGACATCTAGATCTAATGGTTTTTAGAAATTAATTACAGGAAAAATTTTCTTAGTGTTTTGAATTTAGGAAAGACAGTTACTACAGTGTTTTCTTTGACAAAATATGTCAAACCTCACTATTCAACTAAATTTAAAAATGAGCAGGTAAAGCAAGTGAAGTCTCAATTCAGGAGCATGAAATCTATATTTTTGTTGTGGCGTTGTTTATAGACATTACTAGATAGCTAATTTAGTTGTACCATATGTGAATTTTAAATATAGACTCATTTCCATGATCACAAATTCATTATAGTTATCATACGAAAACTTTTGCCAGTGAGTCTAGTCACAATATGAAATAAAACCTGACTATTAAAAACAAAATTGAAAGGTCCATCCTTAACTGTAATTGAAAGCAAATAAAACTTTGTTCCTAGTATTTTCATGGACTTGTATTACACAAAATGTCACTGAAATGTGAAAGCAAGAAGAAGTGATTAGTATGTTGTTTTTAAATTTTAATTCTCTACAAATCTTGCATATCTCTGAGGCTGTGTTAGAGAGCTGCTTTTAGAAAATCTATGCAACCTCAACTAATTAATTTACACAGGACTCTACCTCACAGCCTTAATTGAAGTGTCTCCACAGTACCCACAAACCTTAGTGGTACAATACTTAATACCATAGACAGAGAACTTTGAAATGTAAATGACCTCTTAGCTACCTCAGTTTTTTGGTGAAGGTTACGTTTTATTTTAATTTCAATTTAAATTATGATTTGCTCACACCTTTGGGATTGCTCTGAAATTGTTTTATCTTCTTGAAGTTGTTTTTAAAATTTTTTTAAAGACATCCTCCTGTTCCTACCTCATTACATGGTATTTTAATGAGAATGTTTGAGTCTATCTCAACGCTTAATTGCTGTTTCATCTAGTAGGTAATGGTTGACATGATAGAGGTTTAATTCAAATCACAGTGTGTAGATTTTGCTCAAGTTAATGTGTATCTTGAATCTTGGAGTTCTTCCAGCATGCTTGTCATTTTCTTTAAATTAGTATATGGCATCCTAGGACCTATACGACCTATATATATGATACGAATATGCAAAATACATCAATACAGTTCTGTAGAATAATTCAGATAAAGTATCGGTGGATTCTGTTGCATTTTTTTTCAATTAATTTATGGGATTTATTTTGAAATGAGTAACTCATTTTCTTAAAAGGTTAGAATTTGTTGATTACAAGTAACACTGGCCACCTGAAGCCATTGACTCAAAATTAATTACTTTGGCATGTTGAGTGGTTCTGGAAATGGTAGTCTGTTGTCTTATTATTAGATAATGCTAGTGACAGTAGAAATTGGGCATAGCTTCTTGCCAGTGTTGTTGAAGTATAAACTAGAAACATGTTGTGTTAAAGTTTTAAATGAGAAGGGTTGAAAGCATTTTTGACATTGTACTCTATCACTGAGAGAAGTGGGTATGATGGCCCCAGGTAGAATGTCTACAATTTTGGTATACCCCTTTGTTCTCATTTTCAGTTTTAGCCTTTTTTAAAAACCTTTTATTCGTACGATATACAATTACTTTTTTGCTTCTATTGTTCTCAGAATATGTTAATGGACACCAGCATCTTAGAGCTTATCACATACTGTTTAAAATATTGATTAGTAGAACAAGACATTTTAGAAGGAAGAAAACTTACTCAGGCTTATGTGGAGAAACAAACAATTCATATGATTTTTAAAAAAATAATTATTTACTTATTTATCATTATTATTATTATGATGTAGTTTTCGCTACAGGGCTTGTGCACTCACTAGAGAGAAAGAGAGAGCGAGTGAGAGAGAGAAAGCAAACCACCAGGTCCAGGACTCAAACTTTGATTACAAGTAACACTGGCCACCTGAAGCCATTGACTCAAAATTAATTACTTTGGCATGTTGAGTGGTTCTGGAAATGGTAGTCTGTTGTCTTATTATTAGATAATGCTAGTGACAGTAGAAATTGGGCATAGCTTCTTGCCAGTGTTGTTGAAGTATAAACTAGAAACATGTTGTGTTAAAGTTTTAAATGAGAAGGGTTGAAAGCATTTTTGACATTGTACTCTATCACTGAGAGAAGTGGGTATGATGGCCCCAGGTAGAATGTCTACAATTTTGGTATACCCCTTTGTTCTCATTTTTAGTTTTAGCCTTTTTTAAAAACCTTTTATTCGTACGATATACAATTACTTTTTTGCTTCTATTGTTCTCAGAATATGTTAATGGACACCAGCATCTTAGAGCTTATCACATACTGTTTAAAATATTGATTAGTAGAACAAGACATTTTAGAAGGAAGAAAACTTACTCAGGCTTATGTGGAGAAACAAACAATTCATATGATTTTTAAAAAAATAATTATTTACTTATTTATCATTATTATTATTATGATGTAGTTTTCGCTACAGGGCTTGTGCACTCACTAGAGAGAAAGAGAGAGCGAGTGAGAGAGAGAAAGCAAACCACCAGGTCCAGGACTCAAACTGCAGTTGGCCATGTGAGAATCCAGCACCTTATCCACAACCATCATGCCACCTGCTGGCCCTAATATGAGTTTTATTACTGGTTAATGGGTTTTTTTGGAGAATTATCACTTGGATTAATTCTAGGTTTTTATCTTTTTACGATTTTGGAATTTTTTGGTGGGATAATAAATCCTTATCGTAATCACTAAAATCAAATGTCATGCCATAATTATACCCATGAATTTTGTGTGCTCGCCGTGCAGTAAGTTCCTTCACCTTATATGTGAGAGATCTTCAAACAGTTTATGGGAAATGCATGCTATGAAAAATCTCTGTATGGATTTCAACATCTTGTACCAAAATAAACTCGTACTTTAACTCGTACTTTTGATGTCCTCTTGTATATACAGCAGAAAAGGAGTCTATTGGGTTGTCAACAAAGTCATGATGGATTTTTCCATGAATTTCTATGTAAAAATGCGTCATGACTCCTCCAACAAACCAATTTAACTAGGCCAATCACAGTGATCACTTTTGCCATGGCTCTTGTGGCATACAGTGTTTAAGGAAAGAGATTATTATACATAAGTTTTCAGGGCAAGTTTTCAGTTTTTCAAGGCATTTGCCTCATGACATATTCTACCATATTAAGTTTGCCTTTGAAGTACAGGAGCCTATTGGAGTCATAATTCCTAACTCTTGATTCTTCTGTTAATTTCCTGTTGATAACATTTGGGGAGCAAAGGACAACCAAAGTATACTAGTTCACCAACATACATAGTATCATTTCATAGGATCTGGCACATTAGATCTTGTGTAGAAGTTTAATATTTTAGTATAGAGAGTTCATGAATACTATTTTTTTTTTCAGTTAAGTAATGAAGTCTTTATGAAAGTGCTTGTAAAACATTGACCATAAGAGGAAAATACAAGGTGGCATTGGTCATGTTTAATATGGAAGAAGCATGATACATTAAAAACTAGACTGCAGTTGAGGGAACCAGCAGTTAGCGTAATGGCTATGTCGCTGGACTCCCACGTAGTCGACCGTGGTTCGCGTCCTGGACCCGGTGACTTAAAACTCACACCGGGCGCGTGTGCGTGCGTGCCCAAGATCCCGAGAGGAGAATGGAGCAGAAGGGATTGCAGCGTGACCATCCCCCCGGGGGGTGATTTCTCGCTTTCTATCTCTATGTCTGTCTCTGTCTGGTGAGCACACGCGCCCTATAGCGAAAATCTCTCCAAAAAAACCCAGCAACAACAACAACAAAAAACTGGACTGCAGTTGAGAGAGCATTCTGTTCTCCTCACTCTTTCTTTCTTTTTTTCTTTTTTTTTGCTATTTTATTGAATTTTAGGGAAATAAGATATAAAAAGAACTAGTTAATATACCTCTGGTTTCTCTTCTGATTCTCTTCAGTGTTTCTTTGAAACCATAAGAAGGGCGAATGCATTTTGTGATCCACCGTTGCATACAACACTATGTTTGAGAATACTTCCATGCTTTGAAGATAGTTCAGTATTTTAAAAAGTGGCTATATAGGCCTTTGTTCCATTTTGTTACCAAACCAGGTTTTACATAACTGTGCCTCTATTTTTGAACGTACAGGTTGTTTCCAATTTTTCTTTCTTACATGTAGTGCTGCTATGGAAATTCTTTTTTGGAGAACTTTGATATTTCTTCAGGGATATTTTCATTGGGGATGTGTGTTCAAAGGAACCTAGAATTTGACATTTTTTTGTGTGTTTCTTGCTTTTGGTATTGTTTTTGTTTTCCCATTTTGTAGGACTTATTGCTGCGTTACAAGCATCTCAGGTCTTTTCAACATCCTCATTGTCATTTAATTCCATAATATTTTTCTCATTTTGCTCTTTCCCCTCTAGTGAGAAATATCCCTTCTTTTTTTATCCTGTTCCTTATATATGTTTGTCTTTATAAGTCAGGATATATTTTAGTATGCTTAAGTAGTCATTTTTACCTTGTATTTTTCCATTCTGTTTTAAAAGCATTTATTGCCAACCCCCTCATTTTTCAGGTAAGGAAATTAAAGCTTATAGAGATTGTAGGCTTTTTCAAAGATTGTATAGCTCTTTACATTGTTAACAGACCTGGAATTAGAACCCAGGCTTCCTGATTTCTTTTTTAATTCCAGTAATGTTGATGACTAAGAATTATTTTATTTAACTTTATTTATTTATTTACTTACTTTAATTTGACCAGAGA